TGAGGTATTTTACCACCTGACTTAAAAAGATATTATGAAATTGTGATAGGCAAAACAGCAGAGCATGGTGTAAAAACAGACACTTAGACCAATGGAACCGAATAGAGAATCCAGAAATAAAACAAAACAGTCAGCTGATTTTTTTAAAAGGTCTTTGCCATAGGGTGTGTGTGCTCACCAGAGAGACAGTGAGGGGGAAAGTAAGAAATCACCCCTCAGGGGGATAGCATGTCACAGTCCCTTCTTCTTCTGGGATTTTAGGGGCGCACACACACATGCTCGCGTGATTTTCAAGCCACGAGGTCCAGGACTTGAACCACATGGAAGTCTAGCACCTTAACCACCATGTCACCCAATGGCCCCAGCCAGTTGATTTTTTTGATAAAGGGCACAGACAATTTAGTGGAAAATAGAAAGTCTCTTCAACAAATGGTGGTGGAAAGACATGAAAATTAAACTTGACTCTTATCTCTTACTGTTATCAAAAATCAACTCAAAATGGATTAAAGATTTAAACATAAAGCTCCAAACTATAAAAACTACTTGTGGAAACATAGGGGAAATGCTTGAAGACATTGGAATAGGCAAAGACTTCTTTCTTATTTTTTTTATTTCTGAGAGAGATTTTTGCTATAAGGCGTGTGTGCTCATGAGAGAGAAAAGAGAGATAAAAAGCAAGAAATCACCCCCCACCCCCAGAGTGGATGGCCACACTGCAGTCCCTTTTTCGTTCTCCTCCTGGGATTTCGGACACACACACACATATGCACCTGGTGTGAGTTTCAAGCCACCGGGTCCAGAACTTGAACCATGGTTGACTGCATGGGAGTCCAGCAGTATAACCACTCTGCCATCTGCTGGTCCTGGAAAAGATTTCTTAAATAAGACCCTTAAAGCACAGGCAACACCACCAAAACATGGGGTATGTCAGAAGAAAAAGAGACAACCCAGAATAGGAGGAAATATTTGCAAATTAGATTTCAGATAAAGGATTGATAACCAGAACATACAGAGAGCTCAAGCAACTTACCCACAAAAAATAATAATAATAATCCAATTAAAAACGGGTAGTTGATCTGAACAGACAGCTCTCAAAGGAAGACATAAATAAAAAGCATATGAAAAAGTGTTCAACATCTCTTATAGGGAAATGCAAATCAGAAGAACCACAATGAGGTAGCACCTAATCCCAATCATAATGACTGTGATTAAAAAAAAAATATATATATATATATATACATA